TTTTTGATTCGTCTTGTCAGTGGATTAGCAATTCTTAAGCAAAAAATGGCAATCAGTATCTATATATTTTTGTTACTATTGAGTCTTGGATAATATGGCTAAATATATTTTTAACTAGCCTGCACCTCAAGATATGTCTTGGGTTTCAGAGACGAATGCTTCTTGGCTTACAATGAAAACCATCTGAAAAATTATTTTTAAAAATCAGCAGTGATAGACTAATAAGTTGCCAAATAATTAAGGACCATACTTACTTTCCATGGGCTCACTGCAAAAAGCTGCAGCAGCACAAAGGCAAAGTACAAGCCAAGAAAAAGCTGCCATCTTGAGAAAATTTATTAGACTCCAAACTGCTAAATGAAAGAAACACCTTCGGTGCCTATTTTTATACTGGTTTTGTTTGCAGAGTCTTTGAGAAGATTGTTTGCTTATTGTATTTTTCAGAGTCTCAGAGAAACAGTAGAAAAAGAGAAAAAATAACATAGTAACCAAGGGAATCAAAAAATTGTGTATACAGGTTGCAGTGACTGTTGTCTTTATTGGCGAGCTACTTCAGAACTAGCCTATTATGTTCCAGCTCTGTAAACGAAGTGCGTGAAGTGATTGGTTTGCTTTCAATAAGCAGAAGGAAATATTGCATGATGTTTATATTTGGATTTGAAAATTAAACCCTTTCTCTAGATTTTCAGTTTATTGAGAACTTTACTATTCATATTCAACTGGGGCAGATATTGGGATTATCATCAATGCATTAACTTGCTTTATGTCATTTGTGTTCTTGGGATTTAACTCTGCTTACAGATGCTTTTTAACCTTAATTTGCTCTCGTGCAATTCTCATCTTAATACAAGTGTCTCATTTGGAAAAGAAAAACATAGCCAGTCCAATCTTTTGGCTTGTATTTTTTGCAAATCTCTATCAAGCTCCAAAGGTGACTTTTAGGATATTTAGATGCTTACCTTATCGAGCAGTGCCTTTGTCTTTCTATTTGATATGATGTGAATCCAGTTGCGTAGCCTTAAAGTTGAACTCACATTAGAGGCGGCGCGTAAACGTATTTGAAAGTGGAGAGGCCAAAATATAAAAATCTGAAAGAACTTAGGAAAGGCAGCCACCATGGTTGGCAGCAAGAAAAATTTTAGAATTAAGGTGTCTTAGAGATGGCCAGAAACTGTATCTAAAATGGATGTTGACTGAAAACTGAAGGTGTCGCATAGTCGCGTCTATTGTGATGTTGACTTGAAATAGAAAAATTTTGCAAAGTTTTAGAATAACCACTGTCATATAGCTCGTAATGAAACCTTTTTTTAGATTAAAAAAGTACCCGATTAATAAAAAAAATTATCGTTGAAATATCAACAGAAGAACTATCAACTAAAAATGAAAAGTTAAGCAATACAGTTACAGCTACTTACAGTTACGTACGTAACGATACAGTTACGATATAACTTTGTAAAATATGATCCTAACTTTTTCGGAAATGAAGTGCTTAATTAAAAATTTGGAAAACCATTAAACTGAGCTTGTCAAAATGAGTTTGAATAGAATTTATAATTGCGTCGATGTTATCTATTTCTTAGTAGGAATGGCTTATCCAAACGATCAAACTCTGAAGTTTTCTTGATGATACTTTTTAAGAACAAATCTGCCCATAATTTATTTCTCATATTCTCAAAAAAGTTCTTTCCAGCGGTTTATTTTCCTTAAACAGCTGATTTCTCTCTACTTGTAATGTATCTGAGAACGTTTTTGCGAACAAATAGACCTTGTGTGCCAGCTTTAGGCAATGAAAAGAATCAAAACTCCATCAATTTGTGCTGTCGACAAGTTATTCTGGACTAGGATTCTTGATCTATTTACTCGTTGTAAAACTTAGATAATGACCATAGAATAACTAAAAAGGTATTTATGTCATGAACCATAATATGATCGGTAGTTAATTTTCCTCTTTACTAAAAATTCTGCTATCGGGCAGCATTTGCAAAATCTGGAAAACCCAGATTGTGCAAAAAACTATAATGGCGACACGTTTCGGATTATTGGTAAAGCCCGATCGTTGTTCCACCTAGCAGTTTTGGAATCTATCTACATAAGCACGAAAAAACCACTAGTGTCTAGACAAAATGAGTTTGTTTTAACCTTGGGACTCCATTGGTAACATTCTCAATAGGTACTGATTGGTCAACCTCAACAGTCATGTGCTCGTGTTTCAGATTGGCCTATTTCGATCCACAACTGGGTATATATATTTCCTAGCGTAGAGTTCCCGTCAATGTTCTGACGTTTTAAACTCTGAAGAGTTTGAGACGAAAAGCTTTAGTTTACTAAATGTTTGCTTTTTTCAAAGCCATTTTCAAGTTTTGTACCACTAAAAGGTAGTTTATTTTTAATCTCTCTATGCTTTAAAATGATATGATATATGCCTTATTTAGCGATTTGTCTTTGGATGTGTTTTTTTAAGTTTCGCTTTAATTTTGATGTCAGTGGATTTAGCAATTATATTCAAAGAAAAGGAAAGGGTGGAAACTAAACCAAATTTGAAGTAATCTGTCAGTTAGGAAACCCGTGCAGGAAATTTAGTTTATTCGCATGTAAAGGTCAAATAATCCTAAAATATGCATTTCTACTACACTCTATACCGGCACTCTTTTGCATATGTTTTTGATAGCATCCGAAACTGTCGAATAAATGTTTGAACGGTTAAACAACAACAGTGCAAAGACAGAAAAGAGCTGCTTCCTTGGCATCAGTTTGTGATTAAAGCTCAGGGCAAGAAGTTCTCTTTTGTTGTGCTGGAAATCCCACGTGCAACCAGAATACTCTTATGCCAGGAATTTTTGTCATTTGTGATTGATATCGATTAAAGGGGCTGGGTCCCGTGTTAGCCTGCGGGACAATGTTGTTCTGATGATGCTTGCGAATGGGGTGAATCCATCACAGTAACTAAAATGAGATTTGGTATGACAGAGAATCGCAGCACATCGACGAGATTTTAACATCTTTTGTTACTAAAAGTTTTCTTCGTCGTTGCCAAAGCTTGATAGATTGATTTCATATGTATAATTCAGCATCATTCCTTTGATCAGTCCATGAAATTAAAACCGTTTGTACTGCAGCGGGATGAGGGGACAGCACAAAAGCATCTTCCTGTGGAAGTACAGGTTCATGAACAGGAAAAATTGATGAACGTGACGGTTTAAGAATGATTCAGATTTGGCAGCATTGCTGCAAGCATCAAGTTTTCACGGTCTGCCATTTTGTCAGACACTCCGCTCTGACAATTGGTAAACGAAATCCCTCTTACACGCAGACTGCCCCGCATAAAATGGTTGTTCACGGTTACGTGATCCAGTCCCTTTAAAAAAGCCTTTTCTAAAGAAGATTGCCTTAGGGCAGCTTTGCAAATATTATTCTCAAATTTTCAAGTCATTTTTTGCATAAAGAGGGTAGATTTTGTACCTTTTTGGAAAAAGGTTTGTTCGGAACACATTACTAGATACTGAAAACTAAGCCTGAGTTCATGAAAGATATATTAAGGGTATTTCTTCTATAGCTGTTTAATTTTTCTTTTACTTTGTTGAGGTTGCTCTTTTCATTGCTGCTCAATGCCATTCTTTATTGCATTTACTTAACAAGCTAGGGGCCCTGACGGTGGGTTGCCCAATGTTAATGCAAAGCGAGCTTCTCCGCATCCTAGTGAAGTCGACCTGGAACCCAGCATAGATAAATACAAATACCATCCCAGCATTCTTTGGCAATGTACAATTGCATACGGAAGTTCTATGATTTGCAATTGTATGTAACAGAATGATTTGCTTGATCTCAGGTAGGTTGGATATAAATAATAACTACTATGGAGAAGTTTACCAATCAACTTTACAAAGCTTTTTAGCCTTTTATTTTGAGAAGCATAGTTCTTCTGTCGATATTATAATGTTCACTCATTATTGCTAAGCAGATAAAACAGAGTCGAGTAACGGCCCAAAGTTACCTTCAGTTAAAGAACAAAGGGTGCCAACCTTTAGGATCCCCAACAATATTGTTTCTCTTCACTGGGCTTAAACCTATAAATGTTGTAAATAATTAAATTCATTTTCAGGTCATCCCTAGCATGTAATAGTTCCAAACCGTTTCTTGTCACTAGCAATGGCGATGACCTTTACAAAGCCCTTGATCTATGTCAACAGCTGAAGTTTCATCAGCCCTGATAGAGTTGTACCAAGGCCATACTCTTCTAGGGGGCGCCAAAATTGGTACAATGTAGCCACTTTTTTGCCACTACACCACTGCTTTACATTCTAGTAGTTTCCAAAGGAATTGCTAGCATTGGCCCTCGCCTAACCTCCTCCCCTCCCCAGATTTTTATAGCCAGATTCACCGCTGGCAAAAAATGTCGATCACTTAAAATTATCAAGAGGAAGAAAAGTATTTTAGCGGACAAATTTCTGATCATATGTATTCTTCAATAATCTTCCAGTATAGTCTTTCAATAGTTTTACAGAGTTAAGTATAGGAGTGGTGGTTTATGCCTTGAAGTTCATCAAGGACAGATAATGAAATAAAGGACGAATCAAAGACAATATTTGTGATTTGCTAAGATAAATATTCATAATTGAAATGGAGTAAATAAATTATGCTAGTCTATTAATATGTTGACTTCTGTTGATCGATCTCTTGCTTCTGAATTTGGCAACTCTTGCAAAGACACAGCGTCCAGATCCCCAGCTCACAGCGCTATGGAGAACCCAAGAGCCATTGGCTCCAGTTTGGCACAAAAATGGTGCACCGCTGTCACCATGGCATCCACTCACACGAGTTGTCCCTCCGTGACCAGCACAAACCATCGTGTCAGTGATCTGTAAAAGAGAAAAGTCATAGAAGCGTCAATCATATGCTGGTGCTAGCGATTTCAGATTGAATGCCTTTACACAGAAGCGTGATCCAAAAAAGGATTCAATAATGAATTACTGCATAAAGGCAATGTGGCACTGTGAATAATTTAAACGTACCGAAATTCTGAAATTTTTTGTGTTGAGATTGGTGCATGCTTGATTGGAGACAACGGGCATTTTTCCTTGCTGCAAAGTGTGGTGCATGTTGCCAGGGTGCGGTATTTATCCCCATCCTTAGAGAAAAGTAAGAGCAAATCATATCGAAATCGACTACCTACGGTATATGATATGTTTTTCATCAGAAGTAGAACGTCTATAAGAAATAACGGTCCGGTAAATTCAACAAGGAAGCGTTGTTTACCAGTTATAGCCATCGTTTAACTACTGCTTCTCTTCATAATTCATAATAACATGCCGTCCAGGAATAATGTTGCATTTCAGGTTCCCAGTGGACTGAAAATGATGCATCCTTCAATTAATTATACCTGTGATGAAACAATCAGTTCCAACTGGGACATTCTGGTCTTGTCCAGGCAAACATACTGGCTTCACGTATTTTCCAAATTGAATTGGTGAGGAGAGTTTCATCAATGCAATATCGTTATTGATTGTGCTTCTTGAGTAGCTTGGGTGGGAAATGATTTTTTCAACCTGCATATCGGTGTGTTGTCCATCGCTTGTTGTTGACGTAATATGTTCTCCAACTCTACCGAATATTTATATAAATAATTTAGCAAACTGCTCGTTTTTTTAAAAATTAACAGATATCGAGTTATTGATTCTCAGATGCTTAATACCCGCACATATTATACAAATTGATATTAGCATAGTCTATAGACTATGATACTAGAAAAAGACTCAATATTTAAGTTAGAGTTGTTAATTATATAACTTTAGCAAAAAACCTTTGACATCCTGCTTTCTAATATCAGTACCAAACCTATTTAACGCTTTCATTTTGTTTACCTGACTTTGAAGTAGCGCGCACTGGACTCCCGACCAGATACACAATGAGCCGCAGTAACGACCCATTGTGGAGCAATAATAGAGCCACCACACATTGTCCTTCCATTATATAACATGAGGAAACTTGCCTGAATTCTTCAGATATAAAATTGTAAACAACCATGGTAAATAAAATATAGATTGAGGAGGCTTTGAAGCCGGCAAGAAGGTGAAGCAGAGTTTCCGTTAATAAGTAGTAGGAGCGATAGAAGGTTCGGCTTATATTCTACTTTGATATATTTTTGACAGTCGGTTGTTGTTGAGGAGCATGACGGAAATATTGAAATTCGTAGATGCTAGATCTTTGCAGTAGAGAAGATTCATCTGTTATCTAATCATAACAGTGACTGAAGCCTTGTCTGTTGCCAATCACATTCTGCTTCAGCATCTTTGTACCGAATGGAAATTTTCTTAACCAAATGCAGTTTTGCGGAAGGAATAAAACATATGATTTTTGCTGTAAATTCTAAAAAATGATGATAGATTTTGAAGCTTATACTCTTAAAGATATCGCTTATACTCTCTAATTTTTAAGAGCAAGAAAACTTTCTGGCTGACAAAATATCAATTTTATCTATATTTATTAATGATCAATAAAAATAGGAAAAAAGTGTATTTGGTATGATTAAACCTATGAGTCAAATAGAAAGTGATAATATATGTCCTGAAGTCAAACATGGTCAGAGACAGAGATAAGCAATGAACAAGAGACAATCATGCTCATAAGCGAGTTGTAATGAGAAAAAATATGATTGCATAAACAAACTATTTCAGTCAATTAATATGTTGACATCTGTTGATCGATCCAGCTTCTGAATTTGGCAACTCTTGCAAAGACAGTGTAGCCCTGTGTTGCATCACAGCGTCCAGATCCCCAGCTCACAGCACCATGGAGAACCCAAGAGCCACTGGCTCCAGTTTGGCAAACAAATGGTCCACCGCTGTCACCATGGCATCCACTCACACGAGTTGTTCCTCCATGACCAGCACAAACCATCTTGTCAGTGATCTGTGAATAAGACGAATCATAGAGGTCTCAATTGTATACCACTAGTAACTTAGTTCAAGCGCTGCTATATAAAAATTTGTCCCCAAAAATGATTTCGCGTGACAACATAAAAATAGAGTGATACTATGAATAATCAAACATACCCCAAGTCCCAAGTTCTTTGTGTTGAGATTGGTGCATGCTTGGTTGGAAACAACAGGCATTTTTCCTTGCTGCAAAGTGTGGTGCATGTTGCCAGGATGTTGTATTTTTCCCCATCCTTAGAGAAAGTAAAAGCCATTCAAATCAAAATCGACTACATACAGTATTTGATATTTTGCAATAGGTTCATCATCATAAGAAGAAGGTCTGTCAGAGTAAGGGTTATTGAACAGTCCAACAACGGAGCATTGCTGCAGTGGTAACCAGGCTTTTTATTATAGCTCCTCTTTGTATTATCGTTAAGCGCCATATAATGTTATATTTCAGTTTCTCACTGAACTTAAGAGGTCAATAAATTAATCTTACCTGTGATGAAACAATCAGTTCCAACTGGGACATTCTGGTCTTGTCCAGGCAAACATACTGGCTTCACGTATTTTCCAAACTGAATTGGCGAGGAGAGTTTCATCAACGCAATATCGTTATTGATTGTGCTTCTTGAGTAGCTTGGGTGGGAAATGATTTTTTCAACCTGCATATCGGTGTGTTGTCCATCGCTTGTTGTTGACGTAATATGCTCTCCAACTCTACCAAGTATATAAAAAAAATTTAGTAAACTGTTTGATTTTTATAAGGGTGAACGATGTTGAGGAATTGATTCTCAGATGCCTAATACTTGCACAAACTATATTAATACCTTGATATTAGACAAAGGCTGTTCTATTTTATTAGACACTTTTTTTCCTCATAATAATTAAATAATTTTTATGTAAGTGTTGTAAATTATGACTTAAGCAAAAACCATTGACACCCTGCCTTTTAATATTAATACCAAGCCTTTTAAACGCTGTCAAGCATGCATATTTAGATACAATAAATTATAGATTTTTGCAAGCTTGCACTGAAATGATTGGGTCTGGTATGTTGTTTAACAAGGATTATTTTGTTGTTGTTTGAGCAAGAAACGATTGATACCTTGCTTTTTAATAATAGCATCAGATTCAATCAAACGCTCTCGTTTTTTACCTGACTTTGAAGTAGCGCGCACTGGACTCCCGGCCAGATACACAGTGAGCCGCAGTAACGACCCATTGTGGAGCAATTATGGATCCACCACAGATTGTCCTGCCATTGTATAACATGAGGATTTGCCAAGGCCATGATCCTTTGTTTGCATTTATGCCAGCAATCACTCTGCTCTGTGCTACTTCTGGTTTACCACAAGAACCTTTGGGGTTTAAAAAGCAGAAAAATGCTCATGACAAAAGATGATCTGATACTATCACGTTGGCAAACTCATATCTTTTTTCCAATTATGAGAACAAAATAAAATTTTCTATGTAAAACGTACAGGAGTCATAATTTCCGAATTTTGTTCAATTTCAAGTTAACGATTAGTATCGATCTGATATTGAATTATATTCAGTTTTCCCGTAGGTCTGTTTTATAAAATATTAATCTAGTAAATCGACTCAGATGCACTTGATAGCAAGTTCTTGTTAAAGGAGTTTCTTCTGCACGTCATTTAAACAAGAATTATTCATTAAAGAAACAGGGAGAATCAAGTTTCCTTCGTTTATTGAATGGTTTTTTGTTAATAGCAACGCTCACTATAAAATTTATCATATCGTACCTTGAGTTGGTCCTTGGGTTGGTCCTTGCGTGGGCACAGCTGTTGTAACTGGTCCACCTAATAATACGATATTTTTCTCAAAATGCCAACAATTTTGTCGATGTTTAAATTGGGACACGAAGTTCGTCGTGGAAAAGCTTTAATCCTGCTTGTTTGACAATAAAATTTTGTAAAAGTTGTTTCCTTTTACTCAGATAGCTTTTCATTTTGGATTTGTTTCGGACACTCATAATAGTTTGTCTGGAGGAATTTTGAGGAGCATCAATTTTTATGTTCCGTCAATAACGTGAAGTGCAAAAGACAAATTGTCTCCCCTCTTAACATCAATTTACTTTTGCATATCTATTTCTTGATTTTATTGATAGTCCCTTGAAAAACCTTCTAATTTTTTTCAACATAAGTTATATGAAATTAATACCTAAATTTTACTGTTAAATGCAGTTTACCTACCACATCCATATTAAAAAAACAAAAGGTATATCTCATTATAATTCTTTGATTTGTTCCTTTTATCAGTATGTATTTTGAAAACCAAAAGCCAATACAATTTCGTCAATTTTCCAACTGTTTGGTCATTTTCCTAAAATGTTTTGTTTCTACAACCTTCCTCTGGCCAGTGGCCGTCATGTTTCCCTGACTCTGCCTTCTACTTACAATCTTAATTTTGGAAAGGAATGGAATACAAATTCACAGTGGCGAAGCTAACCAAGAACTGATGGTCCTGCCAAAAAGAGGTCTGAGGGCGTAGCCCCCAAAAAATCGTGCTGAGACATCCCCTAGAGACCCTCGGAAAGAGGGAAATGCCCTTTTTACTTCCACTGTTTGGAAAGAGGGGGGGATAGGGCTCGGGTCCTCTCGAGCTCCACCTGCCTGACATTGAAGAAATCAAAACAGCATCACAAAAATTCTCTCTAAAATAAGTAACATTTCAGAATGGTTTTATACAGTTAATCAAGTCATTGATTAGAAATTTAGAAATCAGATATTAAAACCAAATTTCTTGTACCAATGGGCATATACAGTTGTGATATATACAAAAGTACAAACAATTTTTCACAACATGGATAGGTTTAATGCATGGTAGACACTATATTGAATTCATTTGTGTCGAATATCAGCGGAGAACCCTGTATTTAAATACAGCGATATTCCCCTGAATAAATTTATCCAACTGAATGACAAAAATTTTTATATACCTGTGCATTTGTTACAACTTTTCTTGCAATTTCTCTCCATGAATCGTTTGTAGGTGCTATTTGTACAGAATCCAGACTTTGCCCATCTTACACAACCAGTGTGCTTGTCACTGCAAGCTAAATGTTTGTAAATTCAAAAATTCGGTCAATCAAAGAATATTCAAAATATGGACATATAATCTGATTTTTTCTTTGCTGTTTGCATATTAATCTGTGAAAAAATAAAGGCACGTGAAAACAAGATTTTTATTGTAAGTTTCAGGATTTTCATATAGATCAAAATACAACTCTTTGCAGACTAAACGTTTTTTTTTTGCATTGATAGATAAATGTCAATGTATTGATAAAGCTAGATTACCTGGCACGGTTGTTGATGGCACTGTAGTTGCACCTAGGAAAAATGAACGATAAAGAATTTTTATAGAGGTTAGACGTTTTTAAATATTAAACATAGTTTAGAATCTGTGAGTTGGTAGAATAAACATATTCCGTTTTTCCTTGCTAATGTTCCACCTTAGAAAGTATGGGATTTCTTACCAACGGCATAACACATGAACCGAATAATAGTTTCATTTGTGCAGTGATTAATTTGAGATTCATTTTTAATAGTCACAGTGGTTGTAGAATTTTAAAAACTTTTTCATCCTACATAGAAAAGATATTGATATCTCAAATTTTTAATCAACATTTTTTATTTACGTTACGAAATTAGAGTAAAATTGAGAAAAATTGATAAAAGAATTAGTAAAATTGCCATACAAAAAGATGACGTATTACTTGTTAAAACATATTTTGTTTGAATCATTAGTATCGGCAAACATTTTTTGCTAGAAATCGTTGTCTTTTGTCTGCTTGAAATAGAATTCATTTGTCAACATGATTACAACTAATTTGAAAAACATTTTTTATACCTGGGCATTTGTTACAACTTTTCTTGCAATTTCTCTCCATGAATCGTTTGTAGGTGCTATTTGTACAGAATCCAGACTGTGCCCATCTTACACAACCAGTGTACTTGTCACTGCAGCTAAATGTTTGTAAATTCAAATATTTGGTCAATCAAAGAATATTCAAAATATGGACATATAATCTGATTTTTTCTCTGCTTTTTTCATATTTATATATGTGTCAATAAAGTCAAAACGCAAATTTTCACTGTAAGTTTCAGGATTTTGATGTGGATGAACCTATAACTCTTTGCAGAATAAAGACTTTTTCTTGCATTAATAGATAAATTTCAATGTATTGACAATGGTTGAAGGTGATACCTGGGACGGTTGTTGTTGGCACTGTAGTTGCACCTGGAAAAGGAAATTATAAAGGATTCTTATAGATATTAAAAGTTTTGAAGGTTTTAGATCAAAATAAAAGCTGTGGGCTATTACAATGTTGAAAAATTCCAATTAATTTTGTTAATGTTACAAATTTAAAATTTATGGGATTTTTGTACCATCAGCAACAGCTTTTGACCTCCTAATGTTCTTATTTGTGCAGTAATTGATGGAAAATTCATTTTCAATAGTAAATATCTTAATTTACTACAAAAAATGTATTGAAGTCTAAAATTCTAAACCAAAAGATATACGAACCACATTACGAAACTATAAATAGATTTGTGAAATAAAAGTGACGTTGATTAAAATTGGTATAAAGTTATGTTAAAAGGGAAGTTGTTATTCTGCAAAAATCTGTGTGATTAAACCATTCATTCAAAAAAGAAAATTTGCTAGAAATCGTTGCATTTTGTATGTTTAAAATTGAATTCATTTTTCAACATGTTTTTAAAATCAAAGTCCAAATAGCTTAAAAAACATGATCATATACCTGGGCATTTGTTACAACTTTTCTTGCAGTTCAACTCCATAAATCGTTTGTAGGTGCTATTTGTACAGAATCCAGACTGTGCCCATCTTACACAACCAGTGTACTTGTCACTGCAAGCTAAATTTTTTTTTTAATTTGAAACTTCGGTCAGAAAATTCAAATTTTGATATATAACCTGATTCTTTTTGCTGTAAATATTCTATGTGCGAAATAATGACAAAAGCATGTTTACACTGTAATTAAAGAAATTTCACTCATTTGCACTATCAAGAATTGCCGGCTTGGTTGGAGCAGCGGTTGTTGCATTTCCTAGAAGATTTATGCATTTTTTCAATGCTGAAAACAGAATATTATTTGAAAGTATAAAAACATAAAAGTCTCGCAGCGAGGTATCTAGCTATTGCCACTCTTCTGATTCGTTTCTTCTTCACAAAGAAAAAAGTTACCTTATTGAAATTCACATCCTTGTATTTTAAAGAAATCACTTCAAACATTAGGCCGATTTTCCTCCACTCCATTGAAACAACAAAATGATAATGCCTAAAAATTTACTTCTCTTATTTTTCCCAATGCTAGATTTTTGCTTTGCCATCATGAATTCAAAGTGAATAAAATGGTCTTCATAGAAAATTTAAATCAAAACAATTTTCGACCGATGAAAACCACCTTTCTTTTTGGAATGTGTTTGAGAAATAGAACTAATTGTAAATATTGTCATGTAAAGCTTAAGCAATAAAGAATGCCTTCTTTCTGCAAAATCAACTTATTAAATGATAAATAAACTCAAGTGATAATTGTTATTCATACCGCTGCTTGTTGTAGGCACTGGTTTTTGTGTGCTGGGACGTCCACCTAAATCACAAAGATGATACCTAGATCATGAAGTAAAATCATCGACCTTTCTCTGCCTTTCAAAGTATCCATCTCTTTAAGTAAGAGCTTACTAGATCAGAAGAGTGCTCATACCACCTACCATTAGGTTAAGTGCCTGTCTAAGAACCAAATTTCTATGGAATTTGTCTTGGGAACAAACAATTCATAGTAGGATGACCTGTTTTATTTCTTGCTGCTTTTGCCTTGTAAGTGGAACTCCATGCCAAAGGCGAGTGTCCCAGTCATTTTGAGACATGTTTCAACTTCAGCACTACGTTAGGAATGTACATTAGATATTGTAAGTAAAACCATGTAAGTCCATCTGAGCCTATCCTCAGAAAAAATTAGCATCTTTTGTCACTATCCTCTATACAGAGTAATAATTTAAAAATAGCTATTACTAATAGGCGTACTCAAGGAGAAGTTATGCTGATACAAGTCTACCAATGACAAAATGAACAAAAAGGAAATTGATACTAGCACTTCTATTTCATTGTCAATGCAAGATCAAACTGCCATTGAAGGACGACTGCGGAAAAGTGCGTTGCCCAAAGAGATTTGAGACTAGTAAATGATTTTACAACCCTTTAGCAAACAGACGACGTTTCCGTCGGACTTTGTAGATTTTTCAAATGCCCTTTTAAAAAGTATTACTTGCGTATGATTGATAGTAAATAAAGATATCAGACCTGAGCAGTAGAGGAGATTCATCTGCTTGACATCGTACTGACTGAATCCTCGTCTGTTACCAATCAAATTTTGCTTGGAGGCATCTTTGGTCTGAATGGTAATCTTGCCAGATCCAAATGCAGTTTTACCATAGTGCATAACACTTAGGTAGTCATAAGGAACGTTCATGCTGTCAATGTTTGAGGATGACTGCTTTCTGAAGTTGTGTTCCTTTCCTTTCCAAAATTGAAATTATTAGTAAAATGAGAGTTGAAAACAGGTTGCAAGGCCTCCGACGAAAGGGGAGGGGCAGGAGGGGGGCATGGCTCCTTCACTTTTTTTGCAAAACAATAGAGCTTTTTTTTAAATCTTTTGATATGATTGTTACATTTCTCTTGGCCCCTCCACTGTCCAACCTGCGTCAAAGCCCATGGGTTGAATCTTTTACTTCATGTTATATTATCAGATTATCACCAAAGAATGATTGTGACCTTCTAGGGCATTGCACAAAGTTTTGCTTCCATCAGAAGAATTGATTCAATCATAACAGATACACCCAGAACTAGGCCTGATAGGAATGCACCTTTTTATAGAAACCTGGCCTTCTGCGAGAACTTGCTACATACGTATCTATGGCATTTTTTATGCCAAATACCACATTAATCTTTATATGGTAGGACAATTACCAATGAGTTTAGCATTGTCAAAAATTGACAAATTTGACCACAGATTCAATGAAAAGGGGAAGTGTTTGCATCTATTTGCAATATTTGCTTTGCAAGATAGATAAGTTGTTTAGCAGATTCATACCAGTGGCAATGTTGTTCCAAAGGATAGTGACGTAATTATCTCTGTCTGGCCTGCTTTGCTCGTGGTAAAACCCTAGACTGTGTGCAATCTCATGCATAACGATGCCTTTGGACCAACATCCAGAAGCCAATGAAATTCTGTTTGCTCTGCGGTAGTAGCCAACAGGTGAAGAGCATCTATGTAAAAAACAATACTTTACGTTCAAAATGATACTTGCGCAGTTTAATTGAAACCACTGACCATATATGCAGTTCGTTTTTGCCTGTTACTTTATTATTTTCTATGCTTATCGTTGAGAAGATGAATGATGTCATTGCAATGCTATTGTTCAAAGTTAGTTTAACCTCTACTTTTTTCACTTTTCTCTCTTTCCCGTTGGCCTTTTTGCTCAAAAATGAAAAAATTTCAATTCTTTTTAGTGCTTTTCAAAACTCTGCCTCTACTGCAGGTAAAATATTTCTTTATGAATTGTACTCTACATTTGCATAGAGATCTTAATGTGTTACTATTTGAATAATTCCGTAAGCCTATATACACGATGCGAATTTTTTTCGTGCGAAGTGAATTTTTTCGCAGTGAATGCATAAAATTTAAGCGTAGAGGTTAGAAAGTAGAGATAAGAAAATTTTCTTTGAATTCGTAGCAAAAAAATGCATTCAAAAAGGTACCAGCCATTCCTACTTTTTTTCGGCGGAATTATTCGAGTTGTGAGATGAACAAATTTGAACAGCACTTCCATTATGTTGCCTGATGGCCTACGTCTTTCCGCATTCATTTTCTCAAAAAAGCTTATATACCACGTCATTGAAATAGGTTGGTAATTATTCATTTCTTGTTCTTTGTACACATTCCATTTAAGGGGATTCAGATTAAAAAATAATCCAAACATTTGAATTTTAAATTGGCGAAAACTGGCGAAACATTCAAATAAACGATTGGCAAGAATTTCTTCAAAACGCTGAAAAGTAGAGTGCTCTTTTGCCTGGTCAACAGCAACTATTTGAGCGACTCAAGTTTTACGGATGCACCTTAATAGAATGTCGCATGTATGTGCAAGTTTAGATGACGACATTCGAAAGTTTTTGAAGAAGTATTTCTGGTCTTGTAAATGTAATTCCCTTGCCGAAATACGAAACTCTCCCTTTGAAGACGTTCTGAATAAATTTTCCTAACAAAGTAACCCTAATTGCTCTTTTGCTCTCTTCTTAATAGAGTTTACTTTCAAATTTTCTTATAGCAGCACTCTTCGAACAGTTGCTATGTTCTTTTGCAATATTTGCAGCGAATTTGCATAAAAATTTCTGCCGGTGGAAATTGAGCTTCTAATTCGAGAAAAATTTGGCACCCAAAAATTTTATGGCGAAATATTCACTTCGCGCAGAAAATTGTTCTCGTTATCACCAGGTTTCAGGTTTACATGATACCAAGAGTTAAAAATTCAATTTTAGATAACTGTCAATGGTGTAATCTAATTTGACTATTGGCAGAAGTGATTGATGTCGATTTAAGTGATGCAAGTAAGAGATTCAATCTATTCTTACCCGCTTCCCTGGTAAAAGTGGAGATAGCCAAGCTCGTTGGTTCTTTTCACGAATCTTAAACAGGTAAGGTTTTGATAGTCTGCAATCGCAGCGTTGATTGCTGACACAGCCCTTGATGACGAAGCTTTGAAACAGATATTTATCAATATTACCTAACACCATAGCAATCACGCATAACATTGCTATATCAAAATGGCCTCTTTTGCAATATTCTATTACAATTTATAAATAAGACATGTTATTATTTCCAGGTTATACGTTACGAAATAAAATTATCATGTCTTTAAAAAATTTACCTTTAGGAAGCAAAGAATACGTGTGCTAGATAAGATTGTGTTCACGAATGAATAGCATTGGATTAGAATTAATTGAAAATGAAAAATTTCATTAAGTACCTATACAAAAAAAGTCATAGATAAAGACAAAAGAATTTGCAAACATATTGCACAACATACCAATAGAAGACTCCATACTGTATGGTATCGTGGTAGGCCACAAGCTTGTCTTTGTGGCTGCAAGTGGAATCTGGTAGTTGGGAGAACCGTATAGGAAATCTTGCTTCTGTTCCTCAGTAAGGATCATGTCACCTTCAAACATGCCTGAATCTGGAAAAACGAGAAAAGCAAATCTAATTACCTTTATTTAAGCTAGTATGTCTTAAAAGGTTCCTAAATGTAACAAATTAGTAATTTGTTTTACAGTTCGGACTTGACAAGGAAATATGCAATTTCTAAATTCTACTATTAAAGGAGAATTCAATAGGTTCTTAAAAGACTGAACACAAAATTCTATTGTCAGCTAAATAGCAAAGTTTTTTAGAAAAAAAATTTCACAATGAAAGTTTTTGAACTGATCTAAAATAAGTTTATTTTGTGTAAAAGTATTCATTTGATTTTTGATTCGTCTTGTCAGTGGATTAGCAATTCTTAAGCAAAAAATGGCAATCAGTATCTATATATCTTTGTTACTATTGAGTCTTGGATAACATTGCTAAATATCTTTTTAACTAGCCTGCACCTCAAGGTATGTCTTGGGTTTCAGAGACGAATGTTTCTTGGCTTACAATGAAAACCATCTGAAAAATTATTTTTGAAAATCAGCAGTGATAGACTAATAAGTTGCCAAATAATTAAAGACCATACTTACTTTCCATGGGCTCACTGCAAAAAGCTACAGCAGCACAAAGGCAGAGTACAAGCCAAGAAAAAGCTGCCATCTTGAGAAAATTCTTTAGTATCCAAACTGCTAAATGAAAGAAACACCTTCTGTACGTATTTTTATACTGGTTTGTTTGCAGAGTCTTTGAGAAGATTGTTTGCTTATTGTATTTTTCAGAGCCTTGGAGAAACAGTAGAAAAAGAGAAAAAACTACATAGTAACCAAGGGAATCAAAAAATTGTGTATACAGGTTGCAGTGACTGTTGTCTTTATCGGCGAGCTACTTCAGAACTAGCCTATTATGTTCCAGCTCTGTAAACGAAGTGCGTGAAGTGATTGGTTTGCTTTCAATAAGCAGAAGAAAATATTGCATGATGTTTATATTTGGATTTGAAAATTAAACCCTTTCTCTAGATTTTCAGTTTATTGAGAACTTTACTATTCATATTCAACTGGGGCAGATATTGGGATTATCATGAATGCATTAACTTGCTTTATGTCATTTGTGTTCTTGTGATTAAACTCTGCTTACAGATGCTTTTTAACCTTAATTTGCTCTCGTGCAATTCTCATCTTAATACAAGTGTCTCATTTAGAAAAGAAAAACATAGCCAGTCCAATCTATTGGCTTGTATTTTTTGCAAATCTCTATCAAGCTCCAAAGGTGACTTTTTAGGATATTTAGATGCTTTGCTTATTGAGCAGTGTCTTTGTCTTTCTATTTGATATGATGTGAATCCAGTTGCGTAGCCTTAAAGTTGAATTCACATTAGAGGCGGCGCGTAAACGTATTTTAAAGTGGAGAGGCCAAAATATAAAAATCTGGAAAGAATTTAGGAAAGGCAGCCACCATGGTTGGCAGCAAGAAAAATTTTAGAATTATGGTGTCCTAGGGATGGCCAGAAACTGTGTCTAAAATGAATGTTGACTGAAAACTGAAGGTGTCGCATAGTCGCGTCTATTGTGATGTTGACTTGAAATAGAAAAATTTTGCAAAGTTTTAGAATAACCACTGTCATATAGCTCGTAATGAAACCTTTTTTTAGATTAAAAAAGTACCCGATTAATAAAAAAAATTATCGTTGAAATATCAACAGAAGAACTATCAACAAAAAATAAAAAGTTAAGCAATACAGTTACAGTTACGTACAGTTACGTACGTAACGATACAGTTACGATATAACTTTGTAAAATATGATCCTAACTTTTTCGGAAATGAAGTGCTTAATTAAAAATTTGGAAAACCATTAAACTGAGCTTGTCAAAATGAGTTTGAATAGAATTTATAATTGCGTCGATGTTATCTATTTCTTAGTAGGAATGGATTATCCAAACGATCAAACTCTGAAGTTTTCTTGATGATACTTTTTAAGAACAAATCTGCCCATAATTTATTTCTCATATTCTCAAAAAAGTTCTTTCCAGCGGTTTATTTTCCTTAAACAGCTGATTTCTCTCTACTTGTAATGTATCTGAGAACGTTTTAGCGAACAAATAGACCTTGTGTGCCAGCTTTAGGCAATGAAAAGAATCAAAACTCCATCAATTTGTGCTGTCGACAAGTTATTCTGGACTAGGATTCTTGATCTATTTACTCGTTGTAAAACTTAGATAATGACCATAGAATAACTAAAAAGGTATT